TTTCTGCGGGTGTATCCGCATCCGGCTGCTTGTAGGAGGACCTGCTCAGTCAGGGAGGCACCGCTGCAGTCACCTTCCCAGGCCACGCAGGGCTGGACCACAGAGGGGTGCCTCTGGGCAGTGTCCAGTTGTGGCCTTTGACTGGGGCTTAAATGCCAAGGCCATTCATCGCATTAATGCTGCCACTGGTCAGCGACCTCCTACTGTGTGCTGTGTTCAATGCTTAGCCTCATGGAACCCTCTCCACAGCGCTGTGAGGAGGGTCTGCTATGCCCATTTCACAGGTGAGCCTGAGGAAGGGGCAGCACCGTAATTTCGCCAACTTCATCCCCTCGTTCCTGACATGCCAAACACTCAGTAGGTCTGCAGTACAGCAGGCTTGGTGGGTGAACAGCTGTGCACGGCTGCGCATTAGCTCAGAGTGAGGGTTAGCCCCCAGTACCTAGGACAGCGATTTCAAAAGCCAAACGGACACCGGGCCAATCCTACTTCATTGCACAAGCCTCGTGTCAAATGCAAAATGGACCCTGAGTCAGCAGCTCTGGCTGCAAAGCAACAAATTAACATGTTTTTTCAAATTTTCATTTCCATTCTTGGCAAAGCTGTGGAGCACTGTCATCCATGAGAAGGACTTGGAAATGGGAAAACATTTCCACTGCAGAGAGAAACTCTCGTTTAAAATCAATGGTGAGAAATTAAGGTCATCAGCGGTAATGGAAGCAATAAAATGCGACTTGGTGGCGTGGTTCCGCCCCAGACCAGTTAAAGGCTCCGCACCAGGGACTGAGCCACGGGCACCCGCAGCCCTGCGCCCTGCCAGTCTCCCCAACAAGGAAAAGTGGAGCCATCCACCGCTTACGTACCCCTGCCTGTGGGATTTCTTCGAATGACCGGAATAGTAGGAGTATCCAGAATACGTGGACTCGGTATCCATAGCAATGGCCAGCTCGCCCTGGATGAAGGAGCAGGTGTTGTTTCTCCGGCGAGGTAGAGTTTCACCAGCGGGGCTCCTGACACCTCAAAGGGCTTGGGAATCAAGGAGCCACTCGTCCACAGGAACAAATTCTGGGAAAAAGGGGAGAAAACAGCTATCAGCCTTCAAAGCCAACCTGCAGGGCTGGAGGGTAATGAGAGCAGCGCCTCCTCCTCCCCCTCCGGGGTCTCCATGCTCAGGCAGCAACAAGCTTCCGGGCATCTGGGAGGGAGACAGGTAGGTGACAGTCAAGCCACGCCCCACACCACACCACCCCTCAGCAGCAGCAGGAAAACCGGAGGCAGGTGAGACCTGGCCCTCGGCCATTTCCCGGATACAGCCCGGCCCCCACAGGTTCAGGCTGGGGGTAGTGGCTTCCCACAGCCCTGGCACGATAGCCGGCCCCCACTGCCAGTTTGCTGGTTACAAAAACAATACCCAGGAAAGTCACTTTAAAGGGATTTGCTCCTAGTTTCCAAAGGCCAATCTAAAAGGGGAAAAAAGTTCTCAGTCTCTTTAACCCAGGAACCCGAATTCCTGAGAATTTATCTGAGGGAACTAATTTCTTTTTTAAAGAAAAGTTATAATTACTGCATTGTCTGTAGTAGTAAAAAGCTAGAAACCATCTAAGTGCCCCAACACGGAGCAATAGGTTTATCCACCCAAAGAAACACCATGCAGCTGGCTACCTTGATGATGAGAATGGGGATGTTTATGACGGCGTGGCTACTGAAAAAGCGGGCTACCGGGTGGTGGCGACCACCGAATCCACACGGCAGTTACAACCCTGTAAAACCACGCGGTAGACACGGGATGAGGAGGGACATCAGAGAAAGGGAGCGGGCGATTGATGAGTTGCAGGCTCCTCGCTCTTTTCCCACATTTGCATTAGATGCTGCTTGGCAATAAAAATAAATGAGAAACATTTCCAAGTAAATTCCTCAGTCCCACGCGCCAACTTCTAGAACACCCGGGATCTGAGAGTGGCGCCTCTTCCTTGCACCCATCAGCCCAGAGCTGGGCTCCGCCCCACAGGGCTCCTCCTTCCAGGGCCCTGGAAGCTCACACTGCAAACAGCCAGTGAGAGGAGTGCCAGGAAACACAAAGGACCTGCAAATGCCATGCCCCTGTCCCTGGCGGGGGGCAGGCCAGGCTCTTGGCCCCAGCAAGCACCACCCCGCCACCCTCAAAGGGCGAGCTCCCCGCCAGGGTCTGTGACCCAGACCTTGCCTCCCTGGCCCTGGGTTCCGTGCCTGGTCATTTCCATCCTCCTCCGCCATCAAGGGGCCGGGTGAGAAGAGGGAGACCTGGTTCTAGCAGAGCTCTCCCCTGCCTAGTATAGTACAGCCTGGGACTGGCCACTGGCCTCGAGCGTGTTTCCTCAGTTGTCCAACCAACCAGCCACCATCTTCCCGGGATTGATCTGAAGACCTAAGCAGATGCAGTATCCGGAGCTGGGTGCCAATCCAGGTCTCACTGGCTTATTAGCTGTGTGACCTCAATCGTAGTACGAACCCTCTCTGAAGCTGCATCCGTAAAAGGTATGTAACAGGGCTGCTGGGAGGAGGGAAGAGCTACACGTGTGAACGCTCCCAGCCGTGGCTCCAGATACTGGACAAATGAAAGTCGTGACTCCCAGGATGCCCGTCCCCGGTCCAAACCCTGACGCCCTCCTGTCTTTCTCAGGAGAAGGAAAGCTGTGGGCCAGGAGCAGCCAGAGCAGTGCCCAGGCGGTCTCCCCACCTGGAGGCTGGCCTGCAGTCAGGTGGCCCTGGGCTGGCATCTCAGCCCACGGTGGCTAAGGAGCTGTCACCTGAGCGGGGCAGGCCCCCCGGGGAGCCTCGGGCCTCCTCGTCCCTTAAAGAGAAGTCAGCAGCCTGTTTTCCGGGATGACCGTGAATGTGAAAACAGATGACAAATGTTGTAGGCATTTTGAAGAAAGGTTAGTTCTGCTCTCGGACCTACCCCCACTTTTCCTAGAAGACTTCGCCAGCCGGCTCACCCTCACCGTTTTTGCTCCCTCCTCTGCCTCCCACCATTTTCACGAGCAATTGCCACGGCTTTCAGCACCTCAGCTTCTCACTCCTTTCTGCTCGGGGCTCTGCTGCGTGTTACCTGGCAGCCACGGGCATCAGGGGGTGGGCCAAGCTGCCAGGCCTGCCCTGAACCAGCCTCCTTCCCCGAAGGCCCTTCGCCCTGCTCCCCGCTGACCGCGGGCTCCACCGCCGGCGCTTCGCCCAGAACCTGACTGCCGCTTCTCCGTCCAGAATTCACACCCACAACGCCTGCCCTTTCTCTGCCTTCCAAACCGGAATTCTGGGTGGCCCTTTCCAGCCCAGCTTCTAGCTAACACCTGCGGCCAGGGGGTCTCAGGGGCAGGAGGCCCAGGCCCCGCAGCCCCGGCTGGCCCCGTCTAGGCTTCCTGGCCATGACTCCAGGGGCACACGCTCACCTGGCCGGGCTGTTTCTCCCCCGGTAACACGAGGCCATTTCATTCGATCACCTCCTCAGGCGGGCGGTTGTGAGCATCCATGGGGACTCCCTACGTGACGCCTCTGGCACCTGGTAACCCACGTGTCATTCCTCTCCCCCCTCTGCCAGAGGACGCCATTCTTCATCCTCATTAAAAATCCTGGCCGTCCATTAGGGCGACTCCGGGCACGTCCCACCGAGGAAATTGTGTGTTTCTCTCTCTCCCTCTCCCTTCTGCTCTCTTTGGGAAAAGGCTGTACCCAACCTACCGGCCGCCCTTGTCCAGTTTCTCTCCCACAATTCCTGCCTGTACCTATCACAGCGGGATCTGCA